ATCTGTCAGAAGCTTTTGAAAATCATTTAATGTTTGAAGGCTGTCCAGCCAAAGACTAATCTTTTGAGGGCAAAACCCATTATGAAACAAGCGATGTCCTAGATGATGATATGGAAACTCTTTCTGTACCTTCTCTGGTGCTATTTGTAAGCCAGCCAATCCTAAAGTGATCTGAAGATCCCCAAAGGCAAATAGCAATAGCTTTTCTTTTGGTACAGCCAACAATGTATCATCCATATAATGAATTATATACAATCAAAAATATACAATATATTTTTGTCTGACTGGCTCTATAGCCTAAGAAACATAAACGTGATACATGGTAGGGCTATTAGCCATGCTTTGAGGCAAAACTACCCACTGATATCTCTTTTAAGGCTCTCTTAAATTTAAAGATGGAACACTGAAAGCAAAGTGCTGACAATCAGCAGGGTGTAGAAGAATAGTGAAAAAACAATCCTTTGAATCTATCACAAGTAAATGCCAGTTTTTTGGGATGGCTACTGGGTCTGCAACCATGGCTGAGTGGTACCCTTGAGCATCATGGTCTTATTAACCTGTCTCAGGTTCTGTAACAGCCCCCATTTACCCTATTTTTTCTTAATAACAAATATGGGAGTATTCCAGGGAGAGGAAGAAGGGACAATATGACCAGCATTGAGTTGTTCCTGAGCCAGGTCATCAACAGCCTCCAACTTTACTTTGGATAGGGGCCATTGTTCTACCCAAACAAGTTCATCATTTTTCCAGGCAATAAGAATTGGAGATATGCGAGGCTGCAGAACAATGGTCCCCATTAAAAATCATCTCAGGTCTCCAGGGGATCTCTGCACTGGGGTTTTATCCAACACGGGCAAGGGTGTCACCCTGTAAATTCTTCCCAATCCCTTTTCCTGGGCAATAACCTTGTTACCTAAGCATATGCTGTACAGGACATGTGGTCAGTACAGCCCCCATGGCTTCTAGGATATCTCTGCCCTACAGATTGATCGGGATGTGAGGCAAAATGAAGGACTGAAATATACCAGTGTGTCCCTGATCATCTTTCCAAGTTAGCAGACAGGAACTTTTACTAGGTGACTTTGCTATGCTTATACCCAGTAAGCTACTATCTTTTGTTTTGTTTTGTTTTGTTTTTTCGAGACGGGGTTTCTCTGTGTAGCTTTGGGGCCTATCCTGGCATTTGCTCTGGAGACCAGGCTGGCCTCGAACTCACAGAGATTCACCTTCCTCTGCCTCCTGAGTGCTGGAATTAAAGGCGTTCACCACCAATGCCCGGCTACTATCTGATTCTTGTAGTGGCCATGTCTTGGGCTAATGGTTGAGGGAAATGACAGATGTATCTGCACGCATGTCTACGAGTCCCTGAAAGGTCCATCCTTCAATAATCAGGGTCATCAAGGTTCTGGACTCCAAAATGGACACCCAACATGACATAGGTCCTGTAGATCCAAACCCCCCTTCTCCTCTTATAGGCTTAAGGAAGGGGTTATTAGTTGCACTGAGCAATTCTAGCTCCTTGGGGTGTAATAGTGACTCCCTTGTCAGCTCCCACCATAATTTGGCTCTCTCCTTCAGTACCTTCATCAATCACTCCAGGAATGACCCTAACTCCCTGAAGTAGAGTGCTACTCCTTCCTAAAATCAACCCAGTTGAGCCCGGTGGTAAAGGGCCTTTGACTTCTATGCCCAAAGCTTGGGGTCCCATCTGAGGAGTCAATATTGCTCTGGTGGAGGAGCAGAGGTTCAGTCCTGCGCTTCCTGGGCTACTTCTGACAAGGTCCTGGATACAAAGGGGTTCCTATGGGATAGTACCTGAATAAGGCAGTAAATAGGGGTATTCAGGGCTCCATACACCTGGGAGTGAGGGCCCTGGAATAGACTCCGACTCCCATTTCCCAGAGATGGCAGAGGGTTACCCTGTACATCAGTCTTTGATCGACATTTATTACCCCAGTGATGTCCTTTTTTACAGCAGGGACAAAGACCATTCCCTGGGCGAGGGGGTGCAATAGAGTCCTTAACAGGACAATTTTTCTTAAAGTATCCCATTTGTCCGCATCCAAAGCATGTCTTAGGTCTGCATCCCCCGCCCCGACCTTCCTATTTTCCTTCATAGCAGAAGCAATAACTTGTCCCATAATGTAGTGTCCTTATATATCTCTACAAATGCAAATGTAATCATTGAGGCTTCTAGTCTTGTGAGGCTGTAAAGCCTCCTTGCAGTACTTGTTGGTGTTTTCAAAAGCTAATTGTTTTACTATAGGCATGGCATTATTGGCATCCCCAAACATATGCCCTGTAAGTTGTAGGAACCGATCCACAAACTCAGAATAGGGTTCATAATGTTCCTGTAGGACCCTAGAAAGTTGGTCTCCTGCAGCCTTATTACTTAAGGCTTTCCATGCGCAGCTAGCAGCTGCCAAGATCTGCGCATATACAGCTGAATTTGCTGGCCTAGAGCTGTGTAGGCTCCCATGCCAGTAAGCATTTCTAAATTCCTTCTGGGGAAACTGGCAGCCACATTGCGCTGCGCTGTTTGGTTACATAGTTCTTGGTATTCACCCCTCCAAACCAAATAATTCCCCCGACACAGCATAGCATGATATAATTGTTGCCAATCACTGGAGGTACAATTCAAGGCCACAAAGGATTCAAAAACTGCCCGAGTAAAAGGGGCATGAGGCTGTATGCCATAACCGCCTCCTTCAGTTGTTTTATGTCCTTAAAGTTAAGAGGGGTATGCTCTCTCTGACTCAGGCCTTGGGGATTAACTGTCTCTATGACTGGAAATATCACTCCTCCCCTCTACTCTTCAGGAAGGGCTGACAGAAGACAGAAAGAGCTAGAATGCTTAGAATGCTCGGGATTACGAGCAGAGGAACATGGCTCAAGGGAACATTTTCTAAGCTGATGCTTTAATTTGAGGATGTCCTTCTTGAGTTGAAGTTCTTTGCCTTCCTCAGCCTCATCCTCCAAAGAGGGGGGAGAGGACTCAGAGGAAGAAACATCAGAAGTTTGGAGTGACGTAACAGACTCTTTGTTCTGAGCCTCTGCGAAGGGAGCTTTGGCTTCCTCAACCTGCTCTTTCACCTCCACATTATCACAAGAAGCTCGTCCTTGACTTGACGCCACAGAGAAAAGGTAACAATTGGTATGGTATTTGACCCTTCTTTTTGTAATGTCCTTTGTAGGTCATCCTTCACCTGCTACTCATCAAGGATATTAAGGTCACCAGAGACCAAAAACCAAGGGCTGACCTCATGTACAGGTTTTTTTGCTTTGTTTTTGTTTTTTCAAGACAGGGTTTCTCTGTGGCTTTGGAGGCTGTCCTGGAACTAGCTCTTGTAGACCAGGCTGGTCTCGAACTCACAGAAATCCACCTGCCTCTGCCTCGGAGTGCTGGGATTAAAGGCGTGCGCCACCAGCACAGGGCTTCATGTACAGTTTTTAAGAAATGTTTTACTGTCTTATGTTTGATACTGGTGCCTTGCTTTTTAGACAGTTGGACCAGTTGGTCCCCCATAAGAGAGTAGGAACTAGCAGCACCCATGTTCAATACACCCACTCCTTACCTTAATGAGAATGTTGGCCAGCTTTCATGGGTGATCCTTCAGCATTTACCCTTCTTTCCCGATCTTGGTGTCACTTGTAGTGACAGTGCTACAACACTTCTCACGGATTCGGGCTAGGGGCTTGAGGATTTAAATAAAGACAAGACAGCAGGTCATTCATGCAGGGAGAATGTCATTTATTGCAACAAGAGGGGAGCCTTATATACCAGTCAGCAGGCACGGTGGAAAACTACCCAGGGCAGAAGTTCACATTCCGAGGCCCATCCGGCAATCATGGATGGGCAGATAACCGGCAATCATGGATGGGAAGATAACAGGAACTTGCGTTCAGGCCTTTTCAGAGGGAGGGAAACAAGATGTACTTGCTAGATAAGTTCCTAGTCACAAGCTGGTCAGTAGATCCCTATGGGGGAAGGGCCCAAAAGGCAGAAGAAGTGCTAGGTAAAGTAGCCTGAGATGTTTCACAGGGCGCTTAGGAGAACAACTGGTGCAACAGTGGGTAAGTATCGATAGTCACAGGCCCTTGGCAGCTGAGTCCCACAAAGGTGGGATGGGAGAGCCATTAGCCTGCTGTAGACTCGGGTTGTGGCTGTAGATTGTGTGGGTTCAGAACTAGAAAGCCAGGGGCTTCAGTGCATGGTAACTGGGCTCCAGAGTGCTGCTGGACCCTCTAGCTGTTGGGCTTCAGGAGTTTGACAGGTTGTTATTTCTGCAGCCTGAACTAGAGTTCTAGTAAGATTTTGGAGCTATCTCAGTTTAAAGTCCATTAGACTGTCCTTTATCTTATTTGCTTTATTGAATTATTCAGCTGTAATTTCTGCCACTGTGTTAATACCTCTCCTCAGCATTGCTGTTTTGGATCTGATTTTTCACTGCTTTTAACACTGGTTTTGGTTTTCTAACTGTTCTCTCCAGTACTCTGGTAACCCAATCTTCTCATTAACCGAGATTATATCTGAAGTCAAAGATTCCCTTGTAAGTCATTGTCTGGGGTGAGCAGTGTGGCAACTGCAACAGGAATCCTCTAGCAGTTGCCTCTCTGAAGGGCTCTGTACCACTTAAGTTCTTCAGCCCACCCTCTCCTGTGCTACAAGGTTTTAAAGGAGTTGCTTGTCATTAAATGCTATGCCAAGAGAACTAGGTGGTGATAAGATGTTTACAGACTAGACTCTTAGAGATAGCAGGCTGATGGGAACCTTGTGCTCGTCTCTCTTTGAAGCATGGATGCGGTGAGTCCAGGTGGCTTCCAGTTTAGTCCTTGGAGAGCCAATCCATTGCATGTTTGCCGTTCTTACTGTGGTAATGTGTCTTGCCTCTCACCAGTAATATGAGACCTGTAGGCCAAGGTACCTCATCAGGAAGAAACTCAGTTCATTGAAAACTGCCTAAACAATATCTAAAGATTCCTTTTCCCCCCATTTTTAGGAAGAAGTAAGTCTAATTTGGGCTGGACACCTCTTCATCTGGCATGCTATTTTGGACATAAACAAGTGGTCCAGGATCTGTTGAAGGTCTATTTACAGCTTTTTAATGACTGTAATGCTATGGGGTCATGTGATGAAAGTCTTGAGAACCACTGAGCTGCAGTAGTTTGCTAGAGCAGCAGCAGCAGCAGCACATCCTTAGCCATGGTCTTCCATTACTACTTACAGGAATGGGCTAGCTTAACCAGTTAAAATTCCAGTTTTCAAATTTTAGTTTTACATTGTTTTTTTAAAAGGGATATTAATCAAGACAACTTTTAGCTTTGCAAACATAATAGTTATGGAAAAGAAGCAAAGCACATCCTAAATAGCTATAGATGGCATCAGAATTTCAGAAGATTTAGTGAGAACTGAGGCCTCAAAATTTTTATATAGGGGTATTTTTGAAATTGGATTATATCGTGTACTTAATTTGTACATTTAACCTGTGGCATCTTTTTAAATGTGAACACTTACATATTGATGATAGAGGAGATACTCTGAGGTCCAGGGACAGTTCTTACAATCCTGCTGTGAGAGTGGAGTGGAGTTGCATAGGCCTTTAAAGAGAAGTCTTGTAACTTGGCTCATCTGGTAGAGTTTTAATTTAACCGTGAATCAAGTTTATTTTTAGTAGCGACAAACAATGTTAATATTTGAATTTTTAAAGTACTTAGGAATTCTTATCTATGTATTTATTTGTGTGTGTATAAGTATGTGTATTTACTAATGTGTGGGCACTATTTAAAGTTTTTATGTTTACTAGGCTGGTGCAAAAGTGAACGTGTTAAATGACATGGGGGACACGCCACTTCATCGAGCTGCCTTCACAGGACGAAAGGTGAAAAATGTTCTATTTTTTTGTTTGTTTGTTTGCAAATGAGATGGTTGGAAGAATAGTCCCTGCTATCTGCTCAGTCCTACCTACCTGACCAGCCCCTGGGAAAGCCAAAAGGAAGTGTGGAAACTAGCCCTTTGGTCAGAAGGGCACACGGTGAGCAGGAGGGATCTGAGCATTGCGCAGTGAGGGAAAACACAAAGGCCATGTGTGCTGCTCCTGATTGAACATGCTCAGCTCCCCCCCCCACCACCAATGTGTGCCAGAAGCAAAGCCTAACTTCCATTGTCTCAGTTCACCTTGGGAGGTATCCATTGCAGTGATTTCTAGTGTATTTTCATAGTTGTGTAGCCATCACCATGACTCAGTTTGGGAACATTTCAGTCACCCCATTACATTTTCTGGATCCTCTACACATTCATTCCCTAACCTTCCTCAAGCCTCAGGTTACCATTTGTTGTTTTCTCTAGCTAGTTGCCTTTTCTAGAAATTTCTTACAAGTGGAAACACTTTTGAACCATAATGATGAGGTTTATCTGAGCTGCAGCATGCAGCAGTTCTGTGTGTCTAACTGTGCACACGTGCATGGGACACAATGCCAGAGCAAGCCCTCTTGTGCGCTGCTTTGTCACTTGGTGCCTCACTCCTTCAAGATAGGGTCTTGTCACTCACCCCAGAGCCACATGGGTGGCCAGCAGGCCCCAGCAGTCCTCCTGTTTCTGTCCTCACGGTGTTGGGTTACAGGCTGGAGTGCAATGGTGTCTAACTTTCTCTGTGTCTTTGACCTGAGGGCCTAATGCTTGCACAACAAACACTTTTACTTTCTGAGCCATTTTCTGAACCCCTCTGCTAAGTCTTTTTTGTTTGTTTTTTCAAGACAGGGTTTCTCTGAGTTAACAGCCCCAGCTGTCCTGGAACTTACTTTGTAGACCAGGCTGGCCTTGAATTCACAGAGATCTGCCTACTTCTGCCTCCTGAGTACTGAGATTAAAGGCATGCGCCACCACCGCCCCGGGCTGTGCTAAATCTTGAAAGTACTTTTCTAGTACCCTGCGTCTGCATAGCTTAGCAGTCGGTCAGCCATTTCTGGTCCCAGTGGCTCACGCACTCCTCTCATGGACTTCTGCTTTGCCAGAGATCTTCATTTGGCTGTTCACATATTTGGGCATTTCTACTTTTTTCTTGAACTCTGAATATATGATCATGCTAAATTGGGCCTTAGTTTAAAAATCCAACTATGTTCATATAACATTTAACTAAAGTAAATGGCTATAACATGTACAAGTATTAAGCATATATATATGTGTGTGTGTGTGTGTGTGTGTGTGTGTGTATCATTAGGTTAGACAGAAAAAGTTTAACTTCTTTTTTTTTTTTTTTTGGTTTTTGGAGCCAGGGTTTTTTT